TTATTTTACAGTTAAAATATATATTTATTAAATAAAGTCTAATGTTACAACTAATCGTGGATCCCTTTAACAAGAAAAAAAAATTTTCCCCTTCCTCCAACTCTAGTGTGAAAAGAATGACAGAGGGAGAAATTATGATGATTCATCCCCCGTGACGCAACATTTCAGTTATGCATGAGAAAATATTGAAACTTATCGTGGTAGCACATCAGCAAAACAAATCGTTCAAAATGTACCCCTGTGTATTACCCGCAGAAATACGACTGGGGCTGATGGGAGGAGTGGCTGCAGCTGTGACTAAYGAAACGAGGACTGACTGAGGAAGCTGAAACTGACTGAGGCGAAGTGGTGCATGGCACAGAGGAAACAAAATAAAACTTAAACACAATTTCTTAGCTTAAATGTTTGACAGTTCTATCGCGACTCAATTACAAGTTCAGAAGAYTTGCTGTTTTTGTAGATTTCTGTGTCCCAACTTTTGGAACTCCTGTTTCGCCGCACTAAACCTGTCACTGTCCACAGTTTTTTGTTAAAACAGAAGACCTTATATTCTATAGAAAGTCTCTTTTTTTAGGGGGGAAAAAACAGCGTCCTAGTTCCATTACCTTGATGAATGCGAAGCTCTGTTAAGAACCTCTTCCTGTCAAATTGTCTGCTGCAACGAGTCTGCTGCAAAATGTGAGTCTCTCAGATCAGAGCACGCAGTTGACAGGGTGAGCAGACATTTGCATAGCTCATTCGTGGCAGTCGTCTATGATCCCACTTGCTGTGCCTAATTATCACCATTTCTTTATGCGCCCTGACTCCCAAAGATTCTGCCTCTACAAGGTTCCTCCCCGCCTCACTTTTCTCCTTCACCCTGTAACTTCTTAAATGGCTGACAAACACAAAGGGGAGCAGAAATCTCTGCAGACTTGAGAAACAACAGATCCAGACAGAAACGTTTTGATTGGAAACAGACAGACGGAGACAGAGATCAGGAGTTTTCTCTTTTAGGAGCAATGTTCTTTTGGATCCTGGTTCACGATCAAAGCCTGTTGTGCAGATGAAGAATTGGGGGGAAAAAAAACTCCAGACAGATTAGGTTTTATGGGCTCTCATTGTGTTTTTTTGTGCAGAGAAGGTGGATTATTATGGCAGCAAAAATAAAAGATGTTTCTAAGCTTGATTAAAGCCATTCAGGGTTAAACTTTAAAACTGAGAACTAGAACTAAACTCAAATAAATTAAAGGATCTGTAGAAGGAATCACCCACTGCCTTTCATGCCATGGTTTCAGACTAAAATCTTTGAAAAATGATAAGAGTTGTAACCAATTTGGTTGAATTTTCAAATCAACTATGTGCAATGTCACACTCATTGTTTACGTTTGGAAAGACTCTCAGCTACCACACCAAATTAATGCTCAAAATCTGTAAACGTAACTTAAGTTGCAGGTATTTTTGTGTTGGCTAACATTGATTAGCTGGGGCAGCCATMTCAATTTGGTTTGAAAATTAACAAACAGATAAAAACACATTGGGGGCAGTTCCCCTGGATTGGCAGACCGGAGTGGTGTCCCCATATTTAAAAAGGGGTATCGCAGTCTTCGCAGAGTGTGTTCCAACTATAAGGGGATCACACTTCTAAGCCTCCCTGGTRAGGTCTATTCAGGGGTCCTGGAGAGGAGGGTCCGTCGGATAAGATTCAGGAAGAGCAGTGTGGTTTTGGTCCTGGTCGTGGAACAGTGGACCAGCTCTACACCCTCAGCAGGGTCCTGGAGGGTTCATGGGAGTTCAACCAGTCTACATGAGTTTTGTGGACTTCGAGAAGCCATTTGACCGTGTCCCTCGGGAACTCCTGTGGGGGGTACTCCAGGAGTATGTGGTACCCTGTTGATACAGGCTGTTAGGTCCCTGTACGACCGGTGCCAGAGCTTGGTCTRCGTTGCCGGTAGTAAGTCAGACYCATTTCCGGTGAGAGTTGGACTCCRCCAAGGTTGCCCTTTGTCACCGAT